AAAGACGTATTTTTTTGTGTTCGCTGATGTTATTCACTTTGGAAAAAATCCATTTGAAATATGATGATAATTTCAATGACCTTGTCTTCGTGAATCGCAAGACATTTATTTGAATAAACGTAAATGTTACGCGGAGAATTCACGGATTCCAACGAAGTTACAGCTGTTGATGTTCAGTTGGAATGTTAACATTCTGCCAAAAAAAAAAAAAAAATAAGAGAAAATAAATGAATAACAATTCCCATAAATATTCATGTTGTGCGAATGTTGGTATTTGTAGATAAATTTATTTACTCACTCAATCATAAGCTATCGCAGGAAGTTACTACTCTATTACCGTTACAACGTCACGGTTAAGTTATTAGGTGAGATATTGAATTAAAATAATATTTAAAAAAATTATATTTTTATTTAAAAAAATACATGGACAGACGGACGGACGGACATACATACATCATCAAAAGGAAGTATGGGTCTGTCTCGTTTCGTATTGCCTGTTACAAACAAATGCACAGAGACATAATACCCTGACCACCTTGTGGTGTAGGGTATAAAAATTAATGAAAATTAAACAAGCTCCGACATCTTCGAGTATGTTCATCGGTTGTACATCAAGATGGATAGTAAGGGTACCGCCAAATGTTCGGTATTTAAATGCTTAAACCTAACTAGCCCACCAATTCAATTAACATTAGCAGTTTTAAACGTAACTCGCTTAAGTGATGAATTTCGGTATTACTAATAAAATTGCGGTTCGCCTTTTTTAATTTTTAAGCTCCAGTTTTATCTAAGAAAAAATTCCAATTCACCACCCCTTTGTGTCATAACCCTTAATTCATTGCCCTTAAGGCCCCTAAAGACATTAGCCGATTTACTCGAGTCGTTTGTGTTACAAAATCCTTAGCTTTATTCCCCCTCTTTGCATTTTTCTTAGAACTTGATTAAATATCCTTTTCTTCTTCGGCTATCCTTAGAAACAATAGCACATAAAGGAATGACATTAAGAACAAGTATTTTCAATTGTTATAGAATTTTCTGCTTTGACATTTTGCTAGGAATGCCATAAGCAAAAAGATATGTTGCTCAACTTCATTTCCGTTTTCTTTAGACATTTAATGTTCTCTTCGTGTGAAGTCTTTGCGGGTGTAGTCTCACAATTGAAGGCCGTGGTTTAATCGGCACTTCAACAGGTGATTTACACATTCAAAAATTCACACAAACCACATTTACATGTTTCAAATGACTTGTTGTTGTTGTTGGTGGTGATGGTTTTGCTGCTGCTGTTGTTGTTGTATAATTTAAATGCAAAAATAAGCCGAGTGGAAGGCAATAATGGCAAAGTAGAGAGAGGTTGTAACACGGATATGTCGTTTTGCAATGCCATGGCTTCTCCGTTCTCGTTGGCAAAGACATTGAGCAGTGAATGAATGACATCATTTGCAATATAGATTTACATATTATATCAATGGTTCTGGTTTGCCATGCCGTTCTTCGGAATAATATATCAAACGATGTGAAGTTTTAATGCAACACATTTTGGAAATGTTGTTTTCTTTTTAAATATTGCAATAACTTTGTCGAATGCCCAGTGGGGGAAAATCAAAGTTTCATTTCAATCTGATATTCATTTAAATGTTTATTAATTCGATGGAATATTAAAATAACTTCTGGAGATTGCAAGAGAAAAAATGGAAATGAAGGAGAATAAGTTTTGATTAACTATAAAAATTAAATAAAAACAAGTGAAAAAGCGGTACGTTCGGCTTGGTCCATCATTTGGAGAGAATTTGGCAATTTTAAATAAAAAAAAAAAAAAAAAAAAATCTGATAAAATCTTAAAAATACCGAATGCAGCCGTTATATTAGGACCTATACGACAACGTGGACCTGCATAGGCAACTTTTGTCATAAGCCATTAAAATATTCAAATGCGAAACTTGAAAAAAAAAATGGGAGAATAATGTAGATAAAATCATTAAAATATCGAATATAGGAAGGTACGTGGACCTGCACAGATAATTTGCTGTCGTAGGCTATAGTATCCATTTCGAACTTCAAATACAAATCATCAATGTACCGAATATTGGGGGGTGCCGTTATATGGGGGCTATACGAAGACGTGGACCTGCACGGACATTTTTTTCAATAGACTGTATTATCTATTACGAACTTCAAATACCGAATTTGAAATATTTTTCGGTGAATAGTGTCGCTTAAGACACCAAAATACCGAGAATAGGGAGGTACCATTATATAGGGGCTACACCAAAACGTGGACGTAAGTGGCCCATTTTCAATACCGAAAGTCCTGCAGTCATAATATATGTATATTTCAGTAAAATTTTATCAACCTATATTCATTTCGTTCGGAAACTAGAGTGATTTCCACAAACGGACAGACATCGCTAAATCGACATTTTGAGCTGATCAAGTGTATATATATTTTGTGGGGTCTAATATGTATATTTCGGGGTGTTAAAAACGGAATGACAAACTATCTCCCGATATTCGGTATTTTGATGATTTTTGTGACATTATTCACGAGAATTGTTTAAAATTTGGTATTTGAAGTTCGTAATGGATGCTACAGCCTATAACAAAAGATTGCCTGTATAGCCCCCCTATAGCCCCCCATAAAAAGGTACATCCCTATAGTTGTTATTTTTATGATTTTAGCGACATTATTCACCAGAAACGTTTCATATTTCGTGTTTGAATATCTAATAGGTAATGCAGTATATGCAGGTCCAGGTCTTCGTATAGCCCCTAAATATCGATACATCCCGATATTCGGTATTTTGATGATTTTAGCAACTTTATTCAAGGAAATCGTTTCAAATTTCGCATTTGAAGTTCTCAATGAGAACCACAGCCTGTGACTGAAAATTTTCTAACCAGGTCTTTGTATAAGGGGATATACGTACCTTCGTATATTTGGTATTTTGATGATTTAAGCTACATTATTTACCGGAATTGTTAAAATTTCGTATTTTCACTTCGTAATAGGTACTACAGCCTATGACAGAAAATTGCAGGTCCACATCTTCTTATAGATCTTAAAATAACTGTAACTCTCTATTTACTCTTTTCTAATTGTAGAGGGTATTCAAAGTTCGTCCTGCCAAAAACTTACTGCTTTTTGACTTGTTCTTTTACAAAATTTTTAACTGTGGTGGTGGTACCAGAAAAGGTGAACTTATATATTCCAGTTTCACAAGTTTTTATATAGGCAAACATTTTGCCAATTGTTTACTTTTATCAACATCGGACACTTATTTCACTCTTTATTAATGTTCCTACTTTGAACCTGGAAAGGTACCAGTAAGACTAAGCCGATATATTCCATATTCACACAAGATCTGTGGTTTGAAAAAAATTGAGAAGTACCTAGTTTGTAGAAAATCGCTGTATGTGACCTACAATTTTGTCACTTTGTGTGGTCCCCTTTTCGTGGAGGCATCAGAAAGCGTGGTCTGACATATCCCATCTTCAAACCAGCCAAGCTTGAAAAGAATCGCATGCTCAGTTTGCTTTTTAAGAGGGCTAGGGGTATTTGACGGTTTGATGGGATGTGTTGGAGGTAGCAGAAGTAGTGCTTCGATACATCCCTTCTTCATACAAGATCGAAGATATTGGGATTTGCAAAATTTTAAGACATCTGGACTCTTTTTTTTTCACTTTTTTTAAGAACAATATGAAAACAATATATACATTTTGAACCGTTACCTTATGTTACTATCTTCATAAAAGATCTCGACTTAGTAGAAAACTAGGATATGCGAAATGTTAAGACAATCGGACTCTTATTTCAGATGGTATAGAAGTTATGATTATTCAAAATTATTACCCTCTATATGGAGGTACCGGAAAGAGTCGGCCGATATCGACCATTTACTAACCTGTCCTAGTACTGCTAAAAATATTGCAATATTTCACGGTTGACCGATGTCGGATACACCTCCGCTCTATGTGGATCATTCAAATTTAAAGATTTTATACATTTTTACCATTTTTGTGGGTATCAGAAAGTGCCAAATACCAAAATTAGCCATAGAGAACTTGATCTAAGTTTGACAAAAATATTAGGATCTACCAAGTTTCGCATACGTCTTTCGAGGGTTATCCTACACACTAACCGGAGAGATATTTTTGCCGCATGGATTACAAGGAATCTTCATTCGGGAATCGTTCAATACCCTCCACCATTGGGTAAAAAATCGTTTTTAAATAACAGTATCTGGATTCTCCTTCTGCTGGAGATAACATTACAATTTTAAAAACTACAATTGGTGGAACTTGATCGAAGAGTTTTGGGAAGGAGGGAACCTTAAATGTCAAGTTTCAGCTGGCTTGGTTGAAAACTATGGCAGGAACTTTCAAAATGCAGTAAATCAGAAAGTACCGTTTAGGGAATGTACCTAAAGTGGACCAAAATAGCCCATTTTTAATACCAATCAGCCTGCATTTAATATAAACATTTGTGCCTTTTGAAAGCTGTAGTTGCAAAAATCTGGACTCTAGCGTGATTTCAGACTGACGGACTGACACATGTACAGGCAGAAGGGCATCGCTAAATCGACTTAAAATTTTACGCTGATCAAGAATATATATAATTTTTGCGGTCTCCGACGAATATTTCGAGGTTTTTGCAAACGGAATGACAAATGTAATATACCCTTAAGTGCATTGTGGAGGGTATAAAAAACTACATAAAGCCTAAAAGACTCTCAGCTATCCTTCAGTGAAATACTAGTTTTAGAAAAATCTGATTTTGGATTTGACTAAAGTTTTTCAAACTCTATCTAGCACCAGGATTGTAGATATATTGATCACAGGACTCAGTATCAATCACATCTAAATAATGCATGCAATGACCACTCTCTTCAAATAAATCGTTCTTAAATCTTTTTCGTTTTTTTTTTCTTTTTTTTAGTAAAAAATGTGCAGCGACATTAAAAACTCCTGCATATTTTGTAACCAGCAAAAAAAATCCAACTTACCCGAGAAGAAAGCTGGATCTTTTGAACCATTTTGGAGCCTGCCGACCATAATAAAATGACTTACTTATTCCCTTAATGGCCTAGAATCCGCTTATAATTTCAATTTCATTTGCCATTCCAGCGGCGAAAAACTTTCCAGCTATCCTTTACAACGAAGCCATTCAATTATTATTGATTCAAGGGGTAAAGCGCTATGGAGACGAACAATACAAAATGGCTACAGCTACACCTTTGTTTGCGTAGCAGGAAATCCAATGGGAGAACGATGGCAGATATTCTTCGGAAAAAATTCAAATTCAATTTTCTTGTTTTTTCTTCAACTTGGAAAAAAATTATGTATGTGACAAAAAGTTGTTATTTTTATTTGCATTAATATTCATGGCCTTCCTAAGTAGTTAATTTTTACATTATTTTTTTCTGCATTTTTACGGAGCTATTATATAAACAATTTTTTTCATACGCATGATTAAACTAGTTTTTTTTATAACTAATATCGTGTTTTTGGTTTTGTCCTGGTTTTCATGCCCATTGAAATGGTATTAATAAGTTAACATTTTGTAATTACCCTCCGTTGTCATTAATTACAAATGACTGTAAAAGCCATGCAAAGCCCTTGGCGCTGAGATGATGATAACAAAAACAAACGCATTGTGGTGACTTAATTTGTTGTTCTTTTTTAAGCATACATATTATAAAGGATTTTTATGACATACGCACATATACATTTGTATGCTCATTACATATTATAAATACAATTTCTTTGTGGTACTTTTAAATAGAAAATCCGAAAAACATATACACATACGTTTCAGACAAGCTGAAAAAAATATTAATACCACAAGTGGAAGGCTGACCATATCAGCTTCATATCTACAGAAAATTACTAAAACTGGGATTAAATTCAACAGGGTCAAATACTTTGATCCTCTGATGTTCAGTGCCAAGAATTTTTAGAGAAAAACTGTATGATATAAAGAACATCAATTAATGTAGAGCTGCAAATTCCACTTAGTTCTTAGCGAACATTGAATCCTTTGTCACTTTAGCTCGAAAAACAAAATCCTATACATTCTTATGGAACCATACATTCTATATACATTCTTCGTTTTTATAAGTCCCCACTCAACAAGAAAAAATTATTTCTTCAATTCCTAATTTCAAAAACTTCAATTAAGTTTATATGAAATTTAAAATGTATCTATTTTTAACTGTGCGGCTACCGATGATATACAGGGTGAGATAAAAAAAAATAAACTGCAGCAAAGTCAAACGCCATAATTTTAACATTTTTTTTAAATTTTATTGAATGAAAGAAAAAATATTGGAAATAACATCAAATTTTAAAATAAGTTTAGATTTTTTCGAATTGTTCATCTTTGGCACGAATTATGGCCTTCAAACGGTAAATGAAACCGTCACAAGCTGCCCGAATGTTGCTCTGCGGTATTTTGGCCCATTCCCTGCGAAGCGCTTGCTTGAGGTGATAGACACATTGGTATTTTTTTAATGTCAACCTTACTTTCCAAAATACTCCAGACACAATAGCCCATCGGATTGGTATCCGGAGATTTTGCGGGTCATTGTGCGCTAGAAATGAAGCGAGGAACTTCATTTTCTAACAATTCCTGGGTGGCGCCTGCTGAGTCCTGTTGGAATGTCCCAAGGCTTTAATACACAGTCCAGAATATTTTCGCGATAATATTTGGAATTTATTCTGGTCGATTAATACGAGCGGGGAGCGACCATCGGCTGCTATGGCAGCCCACACCATCACCATGCCCCGCGCACGAAGGTGCACATTTTCAGCTGACCTCTTTGGCAAGAAAACACCATCATTTTGTCATCGAAGTGGAGAAAACCAAATTAGGAAGTTCACCACTTTCGGCCAAGCACAGCAACTCTTTAGCTCTTTTGTGTCTATTCTCTTTCTGTTGCGATGTAAGTTCTTGCACTTTTTGGAATTTCAAGGGAATATTGTTCAGCTCCCGAACCATTTTTAGCCCACTAATACCTCTGCCAAAATTTATCGACATCGGATCAGATCTGGCTTAACTCGGTTAAATTTTGGCGGAGGTATTTCTGGGCTATATCTAATATCTAGCACCATACAGGATGAGATGAAAAAACAGCAACCAAATTTTTGCGATATATATCTTCAACCTGTATCCGATTAATTTGGCACCAAATGGCCAATATCAGTCCAAAGTCCCTAAAATTCGTAATATGCATTCGACAACAATGATATCTGGTTCCAGATATCTTAAAGAGCTCGAAAATACATTTGCACAAATTTTATCAAGATTGGCTTAGATTTGGATATAGCTTCCATATATATCCTTATTCCGATGTCAGGTTTATTGTGAAAATAATGGCTTGTATCGGCCCAAATGGAGTGAATTTCTGGATGTACGTTTTCATTTTGTGGAACGCGGTCACGATATATATTTTTTAATAAATTCCTTCTCGAAGTGTTAATGTTATTTGGTATAAAAGATTAAAATGTCTCCGTCAAAATTTAGTGAAAATTGATTCAGAAAAATAAAACTGCTCTAAAGCCAACTGTTGATAGATGGTATGATCTACTTCAAATAAATTATTTTGTTACGGGAGCTCTACTAAATATCCATAGTGGTGTAGGGTATCACATAGTCGGCCCCATTCGACTTTTGAATTTTCCATACTGGTTTAAAAATAGGTTACATATTTATAAAAATATATTGATAAGGTTTTGGTCTATTTTAGATAGGAAAGCTTAATCTTATAAAGCTTGGAAATACCTTTGCCAAATTTTATGGAGATCAGCTAAGATTTGGATATAGATCCAATTTATTTCCTTTATCCGATTTCAGGTTTATTGTACCAACAATGGCTAATACTAGCTCAAATGGTGTGAATTTTGTGTAACTCGGCCCCCTATATATTTTTTTCATAGAATCCTTCTCGAAGTGATATCATGCACTCTATAGCAATGTTATTTGGTATAAAAGTTTGAAATGTGTCCGTGAAATTTAGTGAAAATCGATTCAGAATTGGATATGCTCGCCCCTCATATTATTTCCTTCTGAAATCAAAATATAACTGTTTTAAAAACAAATGTTGATCTACTTTAAATAAATTCTTTTGTTACGGGCCCTCTACTAAATATGTAAAGTGTGAAGGATATCATATAGTTGGACCCGCCCGATTTTTCCGTTTTCCTTCTTTGTTTTTTGTCATCAATTTTCCCGGACTTTTTTCGATTTTCATAAAATTTCGTTTAAAGTGGAAGTTGTCCAAAAAATAAATATTCTAAATAAAATTTCCCTATAAAACTCTTTAACGCTCGCCCGAGGGTAAATTTTTTAAGAAGGAGTTTCTCATACATGGTATATTGTTTTATAGTGAACATTTTATTTTACGTTCAAAACCTGTCAGTTGACCGCCTAGATCGTGGGACCTTTAGACTATTTTAATTATATGATATAAATGTAGTCAAACGTACATGAAACCTACCACAATATTCCAGAATTGCGTATTAAAAATTTCTACCGTTTCATGTTTCTGTATTAAAGTCTATTTATAAAATTGTTGACTTTTTCAACAAAAGTGGTTTCTTGATAACATACAAATTCTGAAAAGTATTTATTAATTCATTAGGTTAAATATCAACGACATAGAAAATTGCCCACGTATATGTTTATAGAACAATTATGGAATAATTTCGAAAACATAAAATCTTCGAATTTTTACACTCCTATACACCACAAATGACGCCTAAGCTATTCAAAGCTGTAGGTTTCAAGCCAAAAGGAATTGTATTACAACCGTACGTTTTGTATTGAAAGAACAAACCATTTTCCAATTCAGTATACACTGAATATCCTTAACATACGACTCCATTACAAATTATAAAACCAGTAAGGAAAGCTCAAAAGTCAGGCGGGGCCGACTATATGATACCCTACACCAGTATGCATATTTAGTAGAGCTCTCGTAAAAAGGTTTATACAGGGCATTACAGAGCTCTATGAGATATGTTGTACAAAATCAAAATCTATCTAATTCTATTGTGCATTTTACGAACTATAGCTATCTCTGAACCGGGTTTCTCCAAATTTGACGTATTAGCTTCTAGACAGAATTCGGTCTTATGTACGAAAATTCAGGTGATTTGGGCTGATATTGACCATTTAGTGCACAATTAACACGAAATCGGATGAAGATACATATGGGTGCTATATCCAAATCTGAACAGATTTTGATAAAATTAAAATCGACTATTTTTGGGCTATATCTGATATCTGGTACCAAATATCATTCCTGTGAAAAGTATATTACGAATGTAAGGGACTTGAAGAGCAAATCGGATGAAACATATATATGGGAGCTAGAGCTATATCTGAACCGATTTTTACTAAAATTTGTGTACTTGCTTATAGGCTGGTTTCGGTCGGATTTGCAAAAATTCATGCCATTTGGGCTGATATTGGCCATTTGATGCACAATTAATACGAAATCGGATGAAGATATATATGGGAGGCATATCCAAATCGGAACAGATTTTAATAAAATTAAAATCAACTATTTTTGGGCTTTATCTGATATCTGGTACCAAATATCATTCCTGTGGAGCGCATATTACGAATGTGAGGGATTTAAAGACGAAATCGGATGCAACATATATATGGGAGCTATAGCTATATCTGAACCGATTTTTACTAAAATTGGTGTACTTGCTTATAGGCTGGTTTCGGTTGAATTTGCCAAAATTCATTCCATTTGGGCTGATATTGGCCATTTGATGCACAATTAACACGAAATCGGATGAAGATATATATGGGTGGCATATCCAAATCGGAACAGATTTTAATAAAATTAAAATCAACTTTTTTTGGGCTTTATCTGATATCTGGCACCAAATATCATTCCTGTGGAGTGCATATTACGAATGTGAGGGACTTAAAGACCAAATCGGATGAAAGATATATATAAATCGGATGAAGATATAAATGGGAGCTATATCCAAATCTGAACCGATTTCGATAAAATTTAAAACAGCTATTTCTGGGCTGTATCTTATATCTGGTACCAAATATCATTCTTGTGGAGTGCATATTACGAATGTGAGAGGCTTAAACACCAAATCGGATATAACATATATATGGGGGCTATAGCTGTTTCTGAACCGATTTTCTCCAAATTTGTTGTATTTGCTTCAAGGCTAATCTCGGTCACATGTGCCAAAATTCTGGCCATTTGGGCTGATATTGGTCATTTGGTGGTCAATTAACCCGAAATCGGATGAAGATATATGGGAGCTATATCCAAATCTGAACCGATTTCGATAAAATTTAAAACAGCTATT